ATCGCGCGATAAAAAAAATGACGCCGTTAATCTATTCTCAAAGTTGGGTTGGGATCTGGGTCTATACTAAGTAAGCTATGATGACTTTCAAATTGCGCGGATGGATACCTGGTTGGCGCGGATGTATACTCGGCGCGGATCATCGTACGTATGGACGGACGCCAGGCTCGCGGAGTTTAATGTTCCCCATGCAGCCGAACAGTCGCGCCTTCGCCACCAAAAGCGCTTCTCCCTTCTCATCGCGCGGGACAAGTAAATAATTTATGTACTTTCACCAGAGAGTTTAATCCATAAATCAGACTTTCATTCTTTTTATTTTGTTTTGTTTACCTCCGACATTTCCAGCCGGGCTTTCCCCGGGCCACACTTCACCGTCCGCGGCCGAAGCAGCGCTCGGATGTGAGAAAACCGAGACAAGAATTTCTCAGACAGGTGCGGTTTCCAACTAAGTTTAGCTCTTTTAGCAGCTGTTTATTGTGATAAAGTGATAAATTGTTTCTACAGGTCGTTGTTCATGTGGCATCGACTCAAGTTCACCTGTAATAATAAACATTTTACTCATAAATTTTTATATTTGTTTAGAAAAGTTGAGCTAGGATAACTCCCCTTGCCGTTTTCAGAGACAACAACAGCAACAGTTGGCTTCTGCTCAAACAGGTGAGCTGTGGCATCATTTCCAGCTCTTGCTCCTATTCACCAGAGGCGATCCTACATGCAAACTAAACGGGGGCATTGGAAGGGCACCCCAGAAATTTAACCCCCTCCCCAGGCCAGATAGTTTGGTGTGTGTATGTATGTATGTATATATATATATATATATATATATATATATATATATATATATATATATATATACATTTTTCTTTAGCAGGCCATATTGTGCAGAAGAGAAGATCTAGTTTGTCACCAGACATTGTGAACAAGCTGGTCTGCTTGAGTGACTGGTGGAAGAAGGAGGAATAGAGCTTGGACTGATTGACCAAATGCTACTGACTGTAAATAGTTAATCACAACCTATTCTGTAGACCTACAGTGCAGAATTTGTTGAACTGAATAAACAGCTATTAAACACAAATACTTATTGATCATTATTTATTTTCATCATCAGTTATCGTAGTAAAACTGCTTTATCAGTCTGTGATGCATTATTGAAACAAGAAATACGCCTCCATTCTCAAAGACTTGCTTTTATTCATTATCTAGGTAGCACACACATATGCCTTTGGCAGAATTTGAATGAGCCATTTTAATCTAGATTAATTCCAAGATTACAGTGAGATTAATCTAGATTAAAAAAATTAATCTATGCCCACCACTAATATATATATATATATATATATATATATATATATATATATATATATATATATATATATATATATATATATATATAATCGTCGTTTTCGTCTTCCTCCACTTATCCGGGTCCGGGTGGCGGGGGCAGCATCCCAACTAGGGAGCTCCAGACCATCCTCTCCCCAGTCTTCTCCACTAGCTCCTCCGGCAGGACCCCAAGGCATTCCCGGACAAGATTGGCGATGTAACCTCTCCAACGTGTCCTGGGTCGACCCAGGGGCCTCCTGCCGGCAGGACAAGCACAAAACACCTCGCGTCCAGGAGGCATCCTGACCAAATGCCCAAACCACCTCAACTGGCTCCTCTCGATCTGAAGGAGCAGCGGTTCTACTCCGAGTCCCTCCCGAATGTCCGAGCTCCTCACCCTATCTCTAAGGCTGAGCCCGGCCACCCTACGGAGGAAACTCATTTCGGCCACTTGTATCCGCGATCTCGTTCTTTCGGTCATTACCCAAAGCTCATGACCATAGGTGAGGACTGGGATGTAGATCGACCGGTAAATCGAGAGCCTGGCTTTCTGGCTCAGCTCCCTTTTCACCACGACAGATCGGCTCAGCATCCGCATCACTGCAGATGCTGAACCAATCCGCCTGTCGATCTCCCGATCCCTCCTACCCTCACTCAGGAACAAGACCCTGAGATACTTAAACTCCTCCACTTGAGGTAGGACCTCTCCCCCGACCCGGAGTTGGCAAGCCACCCTTTTCCGGTCGAGAACCATGGTCTCAGATTTGAAGTTGCTGATCCTCATCCCAGCCGCTTCACACTCGGCTGTGAACCTACCCAGCAAGAGCTGAAGGTCAGAGCTAGATGAAACTAGGAGGAATACATCATCTGCAAAAAGCAGAGACGAGATTCTCCTGCCACCAAACTCGACACACTCCACACCATTGCTGCGCCTAGAAATTCTGTCCATAAAGGTAATGAACAGAACCGCTGACAAAGGGCAGCCCTGGCAGAGCCCAACCCTCACCGGGAACAGGTCCGACGTACTACCGGCTATGCGGACCAAACTCATGCACCTCTGGTAAAGGGACTGAATGGCCCTTAACATAAAGCTACCCACCCCATACTCCTGGAGCGTCCCCCCACAGGGTGCCCCTGGGGACACGGTCATAAGCCTTCTCCAAATACACAAAACACATGTGGATTGGTTGGGCAAACTCCCATGCCCCCTCCATCACCCTTGCAAGGGTATAGAGCTGGTCCACAATTCCAAGACCAGGACAAAAACCACATTGCTCCTCCTCAATCTGAGATTCAACTATCGATCGGACCCTCCTCTCCAGTACCTTGGAGTAGACCTTTCCAGGGAGGCTGAGGAGTGTGATACCCCTATAGTTGGAACACACCCTCAGGTCACCCTTCTTAAAGATGGGGACCAACACCCCAGTCTGCCACTCCACAGGAACTGCCCCCGATGACCACGCAATGTTGCAGAGACGTGTCAACCATGACAGCCCTACAACATCCATAGCCTTGAGATACCCAGGACGAACCTCATCCTCCCCCGGGGCTCTGCCACTGTGTAGTTGTTTGACTACCTCAGCAACTTCTGCACCCGAGATTGCACAGTCCATCCCCAGGTCTCCCGGCTCTGGCTCCTCCTCGGAATGCGCATAGGTGGGATTGAGGAGCTCCTCAAATTATTCCTTCCACCGTCCAACTATAGCCCCAGTTGACGTCAGCAGCTCCCCATCCCCACTGTAAACAGTGTGAGTGAGTTGCTGCCTTCCTCTCCTGAGGTGCTGGACAGTTTGCCAGAACCTCTTTGGAGCCGATCGATAGTCTTTCTCCATGGCCTCACCAAAATCCTCCCACGCCCGAGATTTTGCCTCGGCAACTGCCACTGCTGCACCTCGCTTGGCTATCCGGTATCTGTCTGCTGCCTCCGGAGACCCACAGACCAGCCACACCCTGTAGGCCTCCTTCTTCAGCCTGATGGCTCCCCGAACCTCTGGTGTCCACCAGTGGGTACGAGGGTTGCCGCCACGACTGGCACCGGCCACCTTGCAACCACAGCTAGCAACAGCCGCCTCAACAATCGCAGAGTGGAACAAGGCCCACTCGGACTCAATGTCCCCCACTGCTCTCGGGACGCGGTCAAAGCTCTGCCGGAGGTGGGAGTTAAAGACCGTCTTAGGTTTTTCTGCCAGGCGTTCCCAGCAGACCCTCACTATGCGTTTGGGTCTGCCAGGTCTATGCGGCATCTTCCCCTGCCATCTGATCCAACTCACCACCAAGTGGTGATCAGTTGACAGCTCTGCTCCTCTCTTCACTCGGGTGTCCAAAACATACGGCCGCAGGTCAGAAGATACGACTACAAAGTCTACCATCGACCTGCGACCTAGGCTGCCCTGGTACCAAGTGTACCGATGGGCATCCTTATGTTCGAACATGGTGTTCGTTATGGCCAAACTGCGGCTTGCACAGAAGTCCAATAACAAAACACCACTCGAGTTCAGATCACGTGGGCCGTTCCTCCCAATCACACCCCTCCAGGTCAAGCTGTCATTTCCCACGTGAGCATTGAAGTCCCCCAGCAGGACAGTGGAGTCCCCTGATGGAGCACTATCTAGCACTCGTCCCAGGGACTCCAAAAAGGGTGGGTACTCTGAACTGATATTTGGCCCATAAGCACAAACAACAGTCAGGACCCGTTCCCCGACCCGAAGGCACACGGAAGATACCCTCTCGTCCCCCGGGGTGAACCCCAACACACAGGCAGAGATTCTCTTGGCTAACAAAAAGCCAACACCAGCCCTCCGCCTTTCACCCGGAGCAACTCCAGCAAAGGAGAGTGTCCAACCCCTCTCAAGGACTTGGATTCCAGAGCCAATGTCGAGCTGAGTCAGACTATATCTAGCCGGTAACGCTCAACCTCTGCCACAAGCTCCTGCTCCTTTCCCCACCAGCGAGGTGATGTTCCATATATATATATATATATATATATATATATATATATATATATATATATATATATATATATATACAGTACAGGCCAAAAGTTTGGACACACCTTCTAATTCATTGTGTTTTCTTTATTTTCATGACCATCACCATCAGTAGATTCTCACTGAAGGCATCAAAACTATGAATGATCACGTGTGGAGTTATGTACTTAACCGAAAAAGGTGAAATAACTGAAAACATCTCTGGACAATGCCATAGTAGACGCTATGTTTCCTTCTGTGGGAGCCCATGAGGACAAAATGCATTTACTGATTCGTAACAAGCAGTTACAAAATTTTCATCATTTTAAAACGGTGTTGTTTTACACATTTACCTCTTCACTTGTTGCCAGTGATGAAAGGGAGTCTGATGTGCTTGTTATTTTGCTAAAGTTTGCACTCCCCAGGGCTTTTTGACCCTAATGGGCATCCGTTGGTAAGGCCTTACTCCAACACAAAAAATGCTGATTGCTTGCAACAATTTAGGCATAAATTGCCCCCTGTCGCCAGGAAAAATACACACTGTTACATTAATTATTTAAAATCACTGAGGAAACATACACTTTTTTTCTAATTACAGTAGTGAGAATACGTTTTTTTTAATCTCAGATTTCTTCCGTTTTTGTTTTTTTCTGTCACCTCATTGTTTCAGATTAGCAAACAAAATTCTAATACCAGGAAATAAACATCTGATATAAAATATATTTATATAAAACTCAGTTTCAGATGATAGTATTATTTATTAATGGAGGAATACTACTCAAACCAACCTGGGCAAGTGTGTAAATGTATGTACTCCTCTGGAAAACCCTCTGGTATCAAAACACAGACTTATTACTGGTTACCTCAAATGCTTGATTTGAGTTTTTCCTGCTAAGTGTTCTAAAACAGTTTCATAGGGGTCCGTTACTTTCCCCACAGGGCCATGTTAGGCTGGATAGTGTTTTCTCTTGTGTTCATGCTGGATATTTTGGTGTGATAATGAAAATTATTTGCTGATTTGAAACATTAAAGTTACCTAAAAGCAACAACAAAACCAATACTTTAACAGTCTATAGTCGTGTGGGCCAAAGTAGGACCAGCAGGAGACTGACTATGGTTAGTTTTGCCCGCCCAGCCCCACTGGATTCTGTGCTTCTGTCCTTGTGTCTCCTCTGCTGTCCAGATGTGAGAGGGCATCGTTTCATGTTTCCAGCGCTGTTCCACACCAGCACTTCTGCCTGATCTGAGCAGCAGGTGGATGTATACGTCACCCACAGAGGCTGTGACGAGTCTAGAGTCCACTTGGACACATTCAGCGGCGGGTCCTCTGTCTTTAATCTGGCTCTGTAGTTGTGGCGTTCATACTGATGGTGGAGGCCTCTGCTGGTTGCGGTGTTTTTGTGAGCATGTTGCTGCTCAGAGGAATGGGCCTCTCCAGTGCTGTGCTCTGCAGGTGGAGAGCTGTGAAATAAAGTCAGAACACCTTCACCCTTGTGCACCTGAAGAGCAGCGAGGCCAGAGCGACTGTCTGACACAGCCAGAGACACGCTCCAGCTGGACTGAGAGCAGATTTCAGTACAGTCAGACTGGACCCGTACAACAGAGCAGGATGGTGGAGAGGCGTCAGCGTTCTGGAAGGAGCACAAATATTTTCATTCAGGGAAAAATTTCCACAACTAAGTTTCCCACTAAATGTGATATTTCTCACCAGGGGGACCACAGTCAAGTACACCACTGCATAGTTGGACTCTGGAGGGTCGTGAGCATGCACAGTGAGTGTAAGTGTGACCGTCACTCCTGCCTGAGCTGAGGCAGGAGTGAGAAGATACACCTGACCGTGGAAAGACCCCTGCTTCTCCACATGGAACCTGAGGGACGGGAATGTAAAAGACACAAATTCTTTTGGTGATTGTTTAAAAAATACATTTTTATGTTGAATTTGTATTTCCTATTGAATGTGTGAAAAAAAGCTGCAGCGTGAATACCAGACGGTCAGTTGCACATTACCTGTGCGGTCCTCTCATGAGCAGGTATCCACAGTCATCATCAGCAGTCAGATTAAAGAGTCGGGCAGGACCGTGATTCAGAATGTCAAAATCTACTGTTGTTCTGTGTCCTGGAACCAGGTGGGGGGCTGACGATGTCTGAGGGGATGAGGACAGCCTTTGTAAATCACTGATGAAGAAAAGTTACTTTTATTGTGAAAACACATTTTCTATCATCACCACGTCAATATGCAAGAAACAGTTAAGTAAAGAAAACAGATTAATTCTCTAACAATGTGCACTGACTGCTCGTGAAGCACCTCTGTTGCTTTATTTATCATATTTGTTTCAGCATCAGAAACATAAGCCATCCTCTTCCACTGAAGATGTTAGGACTGCTGGTTTGTTGCTGAGTTTGTAGCTTCTAGATTAAAGGAGTTGAACACTTGTTTATTCAACACATTTGCAGTGGACTATAGTAGGAATGCATGCCTTGTAAGTCATTCTTGGGGGGAGGAATATACCGGCGCACCATTTCTCAGAACTGAAATGTTCCCACATCACAGCCGACCTTCAGACGATAGGTTCTGAAGAATTATTAAGAATTATTATTATAATTGGACATGTCTCCTCTGATTGGATAACAGCACCACGACTCTACCACTGATCTGCAATGTAAATGTTTTACCTCCACGGATAACCCAACCCTCAAGGAGTTCTGCTGTGTGGTGGTGTTGCTAATGCTGACGGTTAGCTTAAACTAGTTGAAAAGTTTGCTGCAGATTCCCGGATATTAAACCAACAACAGCCTTTCCCGTCACAAGTAAAAATGAGTCCATGAATGCTAATTCACAGTGTGATGTAGATCTGTGAGGATTGTCAAAAAAAAACAGAGTTTCACTGTCTATTTTCTATCAGAGGCTAACGCAGGAGATAGGTGTAGGAGACTATTTACATGTTCAGCCTGCAGGAAAATATCTACGCGATTTAAAAGTGGCATTTAAAAAAATGTGTTTCCAATAAACCACACCTTTAAGGTGCCAGTCAGTTGTCACCCAGGATTCTGGCCTCCATGTTTGGGTTTACCGACATGCTACGGCCTTTTACTCCTGCTTGAACCGTCACCTTGTCGTGGTGGAGGAGTTTGAGTGCCCTAATGATCCTAGGAGCTATGTTGTCTGGGACACTTTGTGCCCCTGGTAGGGTCTCTCATGACAAATGGGTCTTAGGTGAAGGGTGAGACAAAGAACGGTTCACAGAATCTTTCATGGAAGTAAATTTAAAGAGTCGGAGTACCCGGCCCAGAGGGTTACCGGGGTCCCACCCTGGAGCCAGGCCTGGGGTTGGAGCCCGTGGGAGAGCGCCTGGTGGCCGGGCTTTTGCCCATGGGGCCCGGCCGGGCCCAGCCCGAACCGGATACATGGGCTCATCCAACTGTGGACCCACCACCCGCAGGAGGAACATGAAGGGTCCGGTGCAGTGTGGATCGGGTGGCAGACTGAGGTGGGAGCCTTGGCGGTCCGATCCCCGGACAAGAAAAATGGTTTTTGGGACATGGAACATCACCTCGCTGGCGGGGGAAGGAGCAGGAGCTTGTGGCAGAGGTTGAGCGGTACCGGCTAGATATAGTCGGACTCACCTCGACACATAGCATTGGCTCTGGAATCCAAGTCCTTGAGAGGGGTTGGACACTCTCCTTTGCTGGAGTTGCTCCGGGTGAGAGGTGGAGGGCTGGGGTTGGCTTTTTGTTAGCCCCAAGACTCTCTGCCTATGTGTTGGGGTTTACCCCGGGGGACGAGAGGGTAGCTTCCCTGCGCCTTCAGGTCGGGGAACGGGTCCTGACTGTTGTTTGTGCTTATGGGCCAAATATCAGTTCAGAGTACCCACCCTTTTTGGAGTCCCTGGGACGAGTGCTAGATAGTGCTCAATCAGGGGACTCCATTGTCAAGCTGGGGGACTTCAGGCCTCACGTGGGTAATGACAGCTTGACCTGGAGTGGTGGGATTGGGAGGAACGGCCCGCCTGATCTTAACTCGAGTGGTGTTTCATTATTGGACCTCTGTGCAAGCCGCAGTTTGGCCATAACGAACACCATGTTCAAACATAAGGATGCCCATCGGTACACTTGGTACCAGGGTAGCCTAGGTCTCAGGTCGATGATAGACTTTGTAGTCGTATCATCTGACCTGCGGCCGTATGTTTTGGACACCCGAGTGAAGAGAGGAGCAGAGCTGTCAACTGATCACCACCTGGTGGTGAGTTGGATCAGACGGCAGGGGAAGATGCCGCGTAGACCTGGCAGACCCAAATGCATAGTGAGGGTCTGCTGGGAAAGCCTGGCAGAAGAACCTGTCAAGATGTTCTTCAACTCCCACCTCTGGCAGAGTTTTGACCACGTCCGGAGAGCGGTGGGGGACATTGACTCCGAGTGGGCCTTGTTCCACTCTGCGATTGTTGAGGCGGCTGTTGCTAGCTGTGGTCGCAAGGTGGCCGGTACCAGTCGTGGTGGCAACTCCCGTACCCAATGGTGGACACCAGAGGTTCGGGGAGCCGTCGGGCAGAAGAAGGAGGCCTACAGGGCGTGGCTGGTCTCTGGGTCTCCGGAGGCAGCAGACAGGTACCGGATAGCCAAGCGAGGTGCAGCAGTGGCAGTTGCCGAGGCAAAATCTCGGGCGTGGGAGAAGTTTGGTGAGGCCACGGAGAAGAACTATCGATCAGCTCCAAAAAGGTTCTGGCAAACTGTCCGGCGCCTCAGGAGAGGAAGGCAGCAACTCGCTCACACTGTTTACAGTGGGGATGGGGAGCTGCTGATGTAAACTGGGGCTATAGTCGGACGGTGGAAGGAATACTTTGAGGAGCTCCTCAATCCCACCTATGCGCATTCCGAGGAGGAACCAGAGCCGGGAGACCTGGGGATGGACTGTCCAATCTTGGTGGCGGAAGTTGCTGAGGTAGTCAAACAACTACACAGTGGCGGAGCCCCGGGGGCGGATGAGGCTCGTCCTGGGTATCTCAAGGATATGGATGTTGTAGGGCTGTCATGTTGACACGTCTCTCCAACATTGCGTGGTCATCGGGGGCCGTTCCTGTGGAGTGGCAGACCGGGGTGGTGGTCCCCATCTTTAAGAAGGGTGACCTGAAGGTGTGTTCCAACTATAGGGGTATCACACTCCTCAGCCTCCCTGGAAAGGTCTACTCCAAGGTACTGGAGAGGAGGGTCCGATCGATAGTTGAATCTCAGATTGAGGAGGAGCAATGTGGTTTTCTTCCTGACCGTGGAACTGTGGATCAGCTCTATACCCTTGGAAGGGTGATAGAGGGGGCATGGGAGTTTGCCAAACCAATCCACATGTGTTTTGTGGATTTGGAGAAGGCTTATGACCGCGTCCCCAGGGGCACCCTGTGGGGGACGCTCCAGGAGTATGGGGTGGGTGGCTTTCTGTTAAGGGCCATTCAGTCCCTTTACCACAGAAGCGTGAGTTTGGACCGCATAGCCGGTAGTAAGTGGGACCTGTTCCCAATGAGGGTTGGACTCCGCCAGGGCTGCCCTTTGTCACCGGTTCTGTTCATTACCTTTATGGACAGAATTTCTAGGCGCAGCCATGGTGTGGAGTGTGTCGAGTTTGGTGGCAGGAGAATCTCGTGTCTGCTTTTTGCGGATGATGTGGTCCTCCTAGCTTCATCCAGCTCTGACCTTCAGCTCTTGCTGGGTAGGTTCGTGGCAGAGTGTGAAGCGGCTGGGATGAGGATCAGCACCTCCAAATCTGAGACCATGGTTCTCGACCGGAAAAGGGTGGCTTGCCACCTCCGGGTCAGGGGAGAGGTCCTACCTCAAGTGGAGGAGTTTAAGTATCTCGGGGTCTTGCTCATGAGTGAGGGTAGGAGGGATCGGGAGATCGACAGGCGGATTGGTTCGGCGTCTGCAGTGATGCGGACGCTGAGCCGATCTGTTGTGGTGAAGAGGGAGCTGAGCCAGAAAGCCAGGCTCTCGATTTACCGGTCGATCTACGTCCCAATCCTCACCTATGGTCATGAGCTTTGGGTAATGACCGAAAGAACGAGATTGCGGATACAAGCGGCCGAAATGAGTTTCCTCCATAGGGTGGCCAGGCTCAGCCTTAGAGATAGGGTGAGGAGCTCGGACATTTGGGAGGGACGCGGAGTAGAACCGCTGCTCCTCCAGATTGGAAGGAGTCAGTTGAGGTGGTTTGGGCATCTGGTCAGGATGCCTCCTGGACGCCTCCCCAGGAGGTGTTTCGGGCATGTCCTGCTAGCAGGAGGCCCCCGGGTCGACCCAGGACACTTTGGAGAGGTTACATCTCCAATCTGGTCCAGGAACGCCTTGGGGTCCTGCCAGAGGAACTGATGGAGAAGGCCGGGGAGAGGACGGTCTGGAGCTCCCTAGTTGGGATGCTGCCCCTGTGACCCGGACCCGGATAAGCGGAGGAAGATGACGACGACGACAGCCTTTCCCTGAGGTTGTACGATTCCTCCTGTCAGGTTATTTTCCCACACCAGCTGGTGAGCTTTTTTTCTCATGATGGACAAAGTGGAGGAATCCCATTCAGAATTACATTTATAAGTTAACAAGACTCCTCCTTGAACCGTCACCTTATCGTGGTGGAGGAGTTTGAGTGCCCTAATGATCCTAGGAGCTATGTTGTCTGGGGCACTTAGTGCCCCTGGTAGGGTCTCCCATGACAAATTGGTCTTAGGTGAAGGGCGAGACAAAGAACGGTTCGAAGGATCTTTCATGGCGGTTAAAATGAAGAGTCAGAGTACCCGGCCCGGAGGGTTACCGGGGTCCCACCCTGGAGCCAGGTTTGGGGTTGGGGCCCGTGAGCGAGCGCCTGGTGGCCGGGCTTTCGCCCATGGGGCCCGGCCGGGCCCAGCCCGAACCGGATACATGGGCTCGTCCAACTGTGGACCCACCACACGCAGGAGGAACATGAAGGGTCCGGTGCAATGCGAATCGGGGGGCAGACTGAGGCGGGAGCCTTGGCGGTCCAATCCCCGGACAAGAAAACTAGTTTTTGGGACATGGAACGTCACCTCGCTGGCGGGGAAGGAGCCGGAGCTTGTGGCAGAGGTTGAGCGGTACCGGCTAGCTATAGTCGGACTCACCTCGACACATTGCATTGGCTCTGGAACCCGAGACCTGGAGAGGGGTTGGACACTCTACTTTGCTGGAGTTGCTCCGGGTGAGAGGCGGAGGGCTGGGGTTGGCTTTTTGTTAGCCCCGAGACTCTCTGCCTGTGTGTTGGGGTTTACCCCGGGGGACAAGAGGGTAGCTTCCTTGCGCCTTTGGGTCGGGGAACGGGTCCTGACTGTTGTTTGTGCTTATGGGCCAAATATCAGTTCAGAGTACCCACCCTTTTTGGAGTCCCTGGGACGAGTGCTAGATAGTGCTCCATCAGGGGACTCCATTGTCCTGCTGGGGGACTTCAATGCTCACGTGGGCAATGACAGCTTGACCTGGAGGGGTGTGATTGGGAGGAACGGCCCACCTAATCTGAACTCGAGCGGTGTTTTCTTATTGGACTTCTGTGCAAGCCGCAGTTTGGCCATAACGAACACCATGTTCAAACATAAGGATGCCCACCGGTACACTTGGTACCAGGGCAGCCTAGGTCACAGGTCGATGATAGATTTTGTAGTCGTATCATCTGACCTGCGGCCGTATGTTTTGGACACCCGAGTGAAGAGAGGCGGAGCTGTCAACTGATCACCACCTGGTGGTGAGTTGGATCAGATGGCAAGGGAACATGCCGCGTAGACCTGGCAGACCCAAACGCATAGTGAGGGTCTGCTGGGAACGCCTGGCAGAAGAACCTGTCAAGACGGTCTTCAACTCCCACCTCCGGCAGAGCTTTGACCACGTCCCGAGAGCAGTGGGGGACATTGAGTCCGAGTGGGCCTTGTTCCACTCTGCGATTGTTGAGGCGGCTGTTGCTAGCTGTGGTCGTAAGGTGGCCGGTGCCAGTCGTGGTGGCAACCCCCGTACCCGCTGGTGGACACCAGAGGTTCGGGGAGCCGTCAGGCTGAAGAAAGAAGCCTACAGGGCGTGGCTGGTCTGTGGGTCTCCGGAGGCAGCAGACAGGTACCGGATAGCCAAGCGGGGTGCAGCAGTGGCAGTTGCCGAGGCAAAATCTCGGGCGTGGGAGGAGTTTGGTGAGGCCATGGAGAAAGACTATCGATCGGCTCCAAAGAGGTTCTGGCAAACTGTCCGGCGCCTCAGGAGAGGAAGGCAGCAACTCGCTCACACTGTTTACAGTGGGGATGGGGAGCTGCTGACGTCAACTGAGGCTATAGTCGGACGGTGGAAGGAACACTTTGAGGAGCTCCTCAATCCCACCAATGCGCATTCCGAGGAGGAACCAGAGCTGGGAGGCCTGGGGATGGACTGTCCGATCTCGGGGGCAGAAGTTGCTGAGGTAGTCAAACAACTACACAGCGGCGGAGCCCCGGGGGCGGATGAGGTTCGTCCTGGGTATCTCAAGGCTATGGATGTTGTAGGGCTGTCATGGTTGACACGTCTCTACAACATTGCGTGGTCATCGGGGGCAGTTCCTAGGGAGTGGCAGACCGGGGTGGTGGTCCCCATCTTTAAGAAGGGTGACCTGAGGGTGTGTTCCAACTATAGGGGGATCACACTCCTCAGCCTCCCTGGAAAGGTCTACTCCAAGGTACTGGAGAGGAGGGTCCGATCGATAGTTTAATCTCAGATAGAGGAGGAGCAATGTGGTTTTCGTCCTGGCCGTGGAACTGTGGACCAGCTCTATACCCTTGCAAGGGTGATGGAGGGGGCATGGGAGTTTGCCCAACCAATCCACATGTGCTTTGTGGATTTGGAGAAGGCTTATGACCAGGTCCCCAGGGGCACCCTGTGGGGGACGCTCCAGGAGTATGGGGTGGGTGGCTTTCTGTTAAGGGCCATTCAGTCCCTTTACCAGAGGAGCGTGAGTTTGGTCCGCATAGCCGGTAGTAAGTCGGACCTGTTCCCAGTGAGGGTTGGACTCCGCCAGGGCTGCCCTTTGTCACCGGTTCTGTTCATCACTTTTATGGACAGAATTTCTAGACGCAGCCGTGGTGTGGAGTGTGTCGAGTTTGGTGGCAGGAGAATCTCGTCTCTGCTTTTTGCGGATGATGTGGTCCTCCTAGCTTCATCCAGCTCTGACCTTCAGCTCTTGCTGGGTAGGTTCGCGGCCGAATGTGAAGCGGCTGGGATGAGGATCAGCACCTCCAAATCTGAGACCATGGTTCTCGACCGGAAAAGGGTGGCTTGCCACCTCCGGGTCGGGGGAGAGGTCCTACCTCAAGTGGAGGAGTTTAAGTATCTCGGGGTCTTGTTCACGAGTGAGGGTAGGAGGGATCGGGAGATCGACAGGCGGATTGGTTCGGCGTCTGCAGTGATGCGGACGCTGAGCCGATCTGTCGTGGGGAAGAGGGAGCTGAGCCAGAAAGCCAGGCTCTCGATTTACCGTTCGATCTACGTCCCAATCCTCACCTATGGTCATGAGCTTTGGGTAGTGACCGAAAGAACGAGATCGCGGATACAAGCGGCCGAAATGAGTTTCCTCCGTAGGGTGGCCGGGCTCAGCCTTAGAGATAGGGTGAGGAGCTCGGACATTCGGGAGGGACTCGGAGTAGAACCGCTGCTCCTCCGGATCGAAAGGAGCCAGTTGAGGTGGTTTGGGCATCTGGTCAGGATGCCTCCTGGACGCCTCCCCGGGGAGGTGTTTCGGGCATGTCCTGCCGGCAGAAGGCCCCCGGGTCGACCCATGACACGTTGGAGAGGTTACATCTCCAATCTGGTCCGGGAACGCCTTGGGGTCCTGCCGGAGGAGCTGGTGGACAAGGCCGGGGAGAGGACGGCCTGGAGCTCCCTAGTTGGGATGCTGCCCCCGCGACCCGGACCCGGATAAGCGGAGGAAGACGACGAGACGACGATGACGACGACGACGAAGTTAACAAGATGCACGTTCAGAACAACTTTTTTATTATTGTGTGATCAACAGAAATAGTGAAAAGGCTATATTTTGTCTAAATGTGAAATACAGGAAGTTTCCACAGATTTAGTGGAGATTTTGTGGATGCAACAGAGTGATTACTGTAAGAAAAGAACAACCATTCCCTGACATACCTGCCCTCTATTTTCTTCAGCCAAAAGAAATACAACGAGGAGCCTTTCAGCTTTTTAATGCTGTTTTAACTATATTATTTTGTTTACCTGTATTTGAATGTGAGAGGGCAGAACCATCTCTGTGGAAGCCCTCTCCAGCTTGTTTCCTCTGACATCCGTGCCCCTGAGTTGAACATAGAAGGGAACTGCAGGAACAGAATCCACAAATCCCACAAGCTCCTCCAGGGTGCTGAATGATCCAGATGAAGATCTGTCCAGTTTCACCTGATGAAGACTCTGTCCTTCAGTCCCCAGCAGCATTGCATCAAAGGATACCTGCTCGGCTGAAGTCACGCCATTAACAGTCAGCACCAGAAACACCGGAGCTCCTGAGAGGAACAGTCATAAGTGTGAGACTGACTTCACAGGTGGAGTTTTGTTGTCAGAACTATAAAAACTCTTGTCTCACCTGCCACAGGACAACCCTCCACCCTGGACAGACCCGGATGAGTCTCATTTGGTGCAGAGGCAAAGTAATAAAGGAAATCCACGCTGCTGTCAGCTAGAGCAGAGTGTGAAAATTATCTGTCTCAGACTCGTTAACAGTAAATGTTGAATTCTACCGCTCCGTTCAACTTTTACCTATCACATTGAATGTGATGTGGTCATTACTCATGGCCTGCAGATGCCACTGACCGGGCTGAACAGGAGGTGACAGACTGATCCGATAAAGACCCTGAAAGTACTCCACCTCTGCCATGGGCCCCTGGTCGCGCAGCAGAAACTGAGTTTGGGCTGAAAAACCAAGATCATTATCAGACGAAGACCAAGACTTGTGATGGAGGAGACCTCATTCTCTGAGAACGTCCAATTCCAGGCAAGTGCAGCTTTCATTCAGTAGCTCTCAGAATTAAAACGAGTTAAACCTTATGGTCTGCTTTTACTGAAATTCTTTGTAATCTGTGGAGTGTGGAAGTCACCTGATGGACTGGTGAGGATACACTCTGTCATGGTGCCAGTGACGTGAATGGTGACTTTCTTCACTGAGCTGTCAACTCTGAAGGAATGTCTAGGCATTAACTCCTGATCACTTTTCACATGGAGAAGGGTCACCTGATGGGGAAAGACAGTCATTAATGTACGGTTCTGCTGAGTAGTTGAACTATTAGTCAGTACAAAGTTGGAGGACAATCAGAATGAAGAAAAGTAGATGACTTGGAGCAGTCAGGTGGTCTTTGAGGCGTGATTGGTACAGCATCCAGATTAGTTGAAAGTCTGATTGTTATGGGAATCTGCTACGATGATGTTTGCACATTCTTCTGAATAGGAGATTGTTGCATCTTGCGTTGAAGCATTAGTGTGTAATTTTCATTCCGCTCTTATTATAAACTTGACTCACATGAGTGCTCCAGCTGAGAACTATTAATTCAATTCAATTCAATAATACTTTATTAATCCCAAAGGGAAATTAGAGTTTCAGTACACACAATTCTGAGATCAGACATACATACATGACAAGAATTGGTGACTGTGGTCATTTGCAACCCGAGTCGCGCTACCTTAATAGATCAAGAGGGTTTATATGAGGATATAGTCGGGGGAGGAAAAAAAAGGCACTTTAGAGTTACTCTCACCCGAGGGGGTAGCTTTGCTATGCAAAAAAAAAAAAAAAAAAAAAAACACCTCAGACAGATATGCACACAGAGTTCAGACATCACACAACATAAGTGTCCACTAGGTGGGGAGGTAGGGTTGGGGACTCTCCTCACTTCGGTGCGTGCAGCCACATGGAGCAGCGCTTATCACCTCTGTCTGGACAGGGGAGGGAGATTAATGGGTTGGGGAGCACAGTGACTCCTAGATACGGTTCCATGGCCTTCACCGGCTGGAAGAGGGAGAAAGAGTTACCTAGTGACGGCAGCATTTCACATTTCTTCTGAGGGGGGGGGGAGTTTTTACTTTAGCCTCACAGGCTCAAGGGCACCAGATTCAGATGAGAATTGTTTTGGGGACAGACAGAGATAATTTCCTCTCTGCCTTAGAGTTCTGTTGGTCTACAACCCCTCTAGATCCAATAATGGCGTAATTAATCTATCCTAATCCGTGCTGATCCGTCCACAACTTTGTCCTTGATGGAATCCACCTTCTGTGTCAGAGCCTGAGTCTCAGCCAAAGTTCCAAGCTTACGACTCATCTCGACAATTATATGAGTTTGTGCATTCACAGCGCGATGCATTCCATCCCTGAGTTCCGGGATTGAGCCAATATTCCTCGAAAGCTCGTTAATTTTCCGGTAAGCCAGGTAACCGCTCAGACCAAACAGCAGGAATCCTGACACCAAAACCACGAATATCCAGACATCTTCAGAATCCTCTACAGACAGTTGAGAAAGACAGATCAGGTTCCACTGTTTCCAGGAGTCCATTATATACCCAGCTGGCTCTGTCCCAGGGGGGCATCCAGGAGCCCCTTCTCCCGTTCTCATTGATTTGTCAATCGCGTTGAGTGACCAGCTGACCAGATCCATTTTTAATAATTTCCAGTTTCCAGAAAAAAATGCAGAAGCGCCGTGCACACAAGACAGGATAAAGAGCCTTGGGATAAGAGGGAGGGAGAGGAGAAAAAAGCGTCTGTACTCTCCAAGAGCCAGAAGAGAGTCATTCTGATGTAGGTTCATGAACTTGTGCTTCAGTTTTAATCACAAGAAACGATCTAGATCTGTAGGTGAGCTTCTAAAAATAACCATATGAAATGACTTCCTTGTTTCTGACAATCTTTATAAAACCCTTTTTAATAAAACGGTTTAAATTCATTGTAATGATGTATTAATTGACACTGATACTGACTAAATACTAGGGATGGACAATATTTCGGCATCAATATCGGTATCAGCCGATGTTAGTCATTTTTTAACATATTGGTATGGGTTCGATATATAAAACCGGGCCAACATTAACAACCAATATTTTTTCCATCTCGGCTCCATTTGTTTGCCTGTGTCAGAGGGTGAGGGGGGTGATGTGTAATTGTTTAGTCATGTGAACAGTGAATGAAATCATTTCAGAACGGTAAATATGTGTGTTGTGTGTACAATAAATTCAGCTTTAATAATTTTCAATCTATACAAAGTCTGCTGATTTTAGAAGAATTAATGTCAGTATATCGGTATTGGCAAATATCGGTTATCGGCCATAACAGTGATCTTCACATCAAATATCGGTATCGGCCCAAAAATTTCATATCGGTGCATCACTATTAAAGACTGTTTCTCAAACATCTTGCCTGGGTTGGTTGGGTTTAACCCTTTTATTTACTATGTTGAAAACTAGTTATTGTTGAGATACTTGAACCCAGACAAGATGAAGATGGTTTGTAAAACAAATGAACTGGGTCTGTCTACGTATCTATAGCAGCCAAAGCACAACGTAGCTCAAGTGCACAGAAGATGCAAGATGTTAATCCCCATCAGATGGAGCAATAGTTGGACCTTGTTAACAGCTATGTTGTCCTCCACTACAGCTGAGACACGGTGGATGTCAGAGTTGGTGGTAAATATCGTCATTCCTCCAGAGAGAGAGGACAGAGATGAGTAGAGAGCGAATCGATCAGGAGACAGAGAGTCCTTGCTCCGCCTTTTCCTCCTCACCCTCGTCGTGTGGCTGGGGTCTTCAGTGAGGAGAAAAGTTATCTGTGAAAAGGTGAAACTTGCTGAGTGGATGACAGGACTGATGCAGTTATAGGTGTTACTAGCCTGTTTTCAGGTGTGCAGAAGCTGGCGCACCCCTACACTGAATCTCAGCACTGCTAAAACACACTAGTAAAATATAAAAAGCATGTATATATATATATATACACACAGAGAGAGAGAGAGAGAGAGAGAGAGAGAGAGAGAGAGAGAGAGAGAGAGAGAGAGAGAGAGAGAGAGAGAGAGAGAGAGAGAGAGAGAGAGAGAGAGAGAGAGAGAGAGAGAGAGAGAGAGAGAGAGAGAGAGAGAGAGAGAGAGAGGAATGAAACTGATTTAAAATTTATAGTGAAATTAAAATCTTGTGTTGCCCGGCAGCTCTCTGATCCTAGAATCTCCCCTGGATAAAGTAAATATGCTGAATAAAAACGGAACCTACTGGCATGCAACAGAATTAAAGTATCTGGCCCGCATCTTGAGTGCCTGCAGTCCATTTAATTATAAACCAATTTTTATTATGTTCCTTTGCTAAAGAGATAATGTGCAGTTTTTACCATTAATTTCTGGAAACATCCATCAAAATGTTGTTGAAAATTATTTAAATGATGCCCATTTAATGAAAAATATAGGAGGCTTCATAACATATAGCCATAAAAATCAGGTCTAAAATACATTGGAGTGGGTCTAAGTCTCTGGGCGACGCCATATTAGATGGCATGTTTCCTTCTACAGGAGCCCATGAGACCAAAATTAATTTACTGATTTGTTACAAATGGTTACAAAACTTTCGTCATTCTTAAATGTTGTTGTTTTACACATTTACCTCTTCACTTGTTGCCAGTGATGAAAGGGAGTAGGATGTGTTTGTTATTTTGCTAAAGTTTGCACTCCCCAGGGCTTTTTGACCTTAATGAGCATCCGTAGGTAAGGTCTTACTCCAACACAAAAATACTGCTTGCTTGCAAAAATTTAGGTATCTACTGCCTCCTATCAATGGGAAAAATACACATGGTCACTTTAAACCCACCTTGCTCTGTTTCTCCAGGGCGAGGGCCTTCACAGCATCAAACAAGTAATCATCTTTGGCAGAAGCATCAGTGAATACAAAGATTTCTGACAAGGGTGGGCTGTGTGTGAGAGCCAGCTAAAATACAAAAATACAGGACAGTATGAAATATTATAAATTCTTGCTCAATGGAGAAAATTAAAAAAACATTGCAACTAAAACCTTTATTTATTTCAAGATTTCTTTTAAACTTTTTTTGATTAAATCAAACAAAATCTGCACATTTTGGCTATCATGTCAAAGAAAATCAAAAACTCTAATAAGAAATGAACATTTTCATAGGATGATTCTGTGGTGAGACAGTTTTATTTTCCAAACCTTTGAGTTTGTGGTTTTGTTTGTTTAAACATGCTAAATGACTTCGTTAAATGTAAAACACACACTCATCATGAAAGTACTGAGTCGTATTGTAAATAATAGAGGGATAAGCAGGGATGACCTCTGCTGTTCACTTTCCCTGCTGCTAATCTTCCTGAAAAACTTTCACACAGTAAAGGATTGTTGAGGAAATTCATTATTCCTCTGAAGCAGTACTGTCGATACTTTTCAAGATAAGGGCCAAAATGGTTAAGTCCTAGCAGGCCAAAAAGGTAATCAATCAATCAATCAATCAATCAGTCAATCAATCAATCAATCAATCAATCAATCAATCAATCAACCAGTCTGTCTGTCTGTCCCAACATTATAGGCATGCATTTTGAGGCCGCACAAATCCCTTGGAGGGCCGTAAGTGGCCCCTGGGCCACCCTTTGGAAAACACCTGCTCTAAAGGTTTAAAACAAAAAAAATTATTTGGCCAAAACAAAACATTCTGTTCTGTTTGTTTTGCACCTATTAAAGTACTAAGGAGCAGTTTTCTCCAGCCTTCTACATTTGATGTCCCATGGGCTGTCGTAGCACCCGATGTCCTCTGGGTGATGCTCTTCTACTTCCAAGACATTTTATTTATTTCCTTTTTTATTTTGAATTCTACTTTATGTGTTCTTCTTAGGTTACTTAAGCAACTAACAATCATTTTCTATTATTCTATTATTGTAATTTATTCATTACATTGTTTTCACCGTACGCCCAGTGCGTGGCATGCCCATTGCACAAACAACATCCCACAAAAGCACCACATGACATATTTATCCAGTGTTTAGTAACTAAACTCGCCTGAATGGCAGAAAGACTCATCTCTGGTTCATCTCCTCCTCCCAGAGCCATCAGGTTCTCCAAGAACTCCATGAACTGGTTTGGGTCGTCCGCCTCATATACGGGTCCAAACCCTGAAAACGCAAGAGACAAACACTCATGTACTAATCTTCCTGAAAGCTTTCAAAATGAAGGATCTCGCCATGTAATGGAAGAAAATATATGAACAATGACAAAAAGATCAATTTAGTTAAATAATAATTTTAGCATTTTGTGTTATTTTTGCTATTTCATAAAAAGCACAAAACTCTAAGTAGCACTAACTTCTTTTTTTTACTTTAAATTTTTCTAATGAGAGATGCAGGTGATGAACAGATAACACAACGCTAAACCTAAAGAAAACACAAACGAAGACAGAAGACCACAACTGCGGTGAGTGATGTCATCATTTCTCTTCTCTGGTAAACAGGAAACACTTGAGTTTTTTCCACACTAGCTCTAAACTGCTTCTTCATGCACATCTGCTCATTTCTGTTAATCGCTGTGAAAAAAAGGTCACCTGGGTCATGGAAGGGCACAAGCAGAAAGGTGCCAGGGTGCTCGGTGCCGTTGGCTCGGTTCTGAATGATGGAGTGAGCCCTGAGTCGAGCAGCAGTGATCTCCTCAAACATGCTGCCCGTGGTGTCCATAACAAACACCAACGCAGGAACCTGCTTCACTCTGAAAAGCCTGTAGGATGATTGTGATAACATCACTACAGTGAGTGTGTAGAAGAAGCTGCTGTTGGACTTTCTGTATGTTCTGTAACAACAGGTGGAAACTCACTTGAGAAAGACCTCTGGGCCCACCGTGTCTTTGAGGTCTCTCAGTAAACTCAGGGTGGCGTTAGTGGCCATTTTTGCAGCTTCCATGTGGAGGTAATGATGAGGGGAGAAGAGCGGTGAGGTGCTGTCTTTATTGATTCCTCCTCTGGCACTCAAATATTGACTTCTGTCCATAATACCTCCATGGCTGCATTTGCCTAGAAGAAAAACACTGTTTAAATGAATTTAGAAGAGAAAACTCACCTGAGATTTTTTTCTGTAGAGAAAAAAAATGGATGAGAAGAAAAGAGTTTACCTTTAGGTTTCTTTGAATAGCTGTCGTAGCCTGTGGTGAGCAGATGGGCGTTTCCCTGGGGGTTCGCTAGTGCCGGCAGGAGGTTGTTCCTACAGGTAGGAGTAAAGCAGTCAACGCAGGTAGGAGTGTTCTCTGCAAAGAGAAATAAACAACAATGGCTTTTTGATGCATTAATTTTCTCTCTACCAGACAATAATTCCTGGAAGTACCTCAACTGCTGCTTAGTAAAATGTTTTCAGGATGACACAGATACTAGTTGTCTCAAAGCTTCATGTGTGGTAAAATTCTAGATCGTTATGAGGAAAGAATCGATAAAACATCTTTCTTTTTAATGAAAACTAACTTTTTCCCCTGCACACCGTTTCCTCATTTGTGCAGGACTCAAGGCACTCACTAAAGTCCAGCAAACACCACGATCATCTCCTGAAATTGATCCAGCTGTGAAATCAATCAAGCATCAGATCTGCTCAGAAAGGGAACGCAGGAAGGCGTGAGTACAACTGCATGCCCAGAGAAGAGGAGAAACTGGGAAATGGGCCAAGTGTCAAGAAGGGTAGCAAAGAAGCTGCATCTATCCAAAACCAAAGCATCAGGGACAAACTGCTAATGTCACAACATATCTGGGAATCAGACTGCTGAGAGCTGGGTGAAGTCAGTTTCACTGCTGAAAGCCATTTGGTTTTGAGTTTCTGACTAAAGAGATAGTTTTGGTAATAAAAGGTGAGCAGGCTCACGAGTCTGTTTTTGAGAGCAATGTGGGTTTGCTTTTCAGTTAACGGAGTGAACTCACTCACTCATGGTGCCTAGACATCCTCCCAGAGGAACTCCTCCCGATCATCCAAAAACAGTTTGGTAATAAACAATACCATTTTCAGTATGATGGACTCTTATGTCACAAAGCAAAAGTGATAAATAGATGGCTCGGTCAACAAAGCACTAAAAGTGTGGGTTAGCGCTGATAATACAGGACTATTTAATGCCACTGTCACGTTGAGTGTAGGAGGTTGAACCCAAAAACGCAGCTAACCAGAACGACTCAAGGCAGGAGTAGTTTAAAAAAATTATTCCTTTATTAAGGAAGGATGAACCAAAATTCAAAGCACAAAAAATAAGATTAAATCTCAAAAAACCTCACTGAGTATTCAAAAGCTCACACATGAGCACAAACTCAGAGAGACTCGAGAGGGGAACTAACAATGCAACACATACGACGATGACCCAACAAACACTGAAGTACAAGACAGGCTTTTAACACAGAGGGAAGCAATCGGGGGAACAGGTGACAGGTGTGAGGAGTGAGGCCTAGAGGGACGACAGGTGAAATCAATTAACTAAATGGGAAGGGAAAACCAAGCAGAGGGGAAGATAACATAACCTATAAAAACACTAAATAACTGCACCTAGAAACTAAGGGCAAAGATAAACAACTAATGACAAGTGGGGAAGGACACAAACACTAAAGGGAACTAATAAAATGAAAAGCTGAACCTATAGAAAATAAAACTACAGAGAGGTGAATAGGGGAGACCTGAGAAGCTGGGAAACACCAGGAGACACATGAAGAGAGGACAAACAGGAAGGGGCTGGGGACCAAGGGAACACAGAACATGACAGCCACCAGTCAGACTTTAGCCCAGAAGCTGATAGACTACATGACAGGGTGAAGTCTACCATAGAAACATCTGGGGAAAAAATATCTAAAAACACTGCAGCAACAAACTTGAGATGTCCTTGTGACTATTCTAGATTAGCATTTAGGTTTCCATATCTCACTGCCGCTTCCTGTGACCAGATATCTAATTTATCAGGTAGTGGAGGTCAGGCTGCTGTGTAATCCTATACCAACACATGCTAGTGGTTGTCACCATAAGCTGTATGTACACACTTGTGTGTTTTACTTTGTGCAGATGTTGACCACCACACTGACTTCATAATAAAACTGATTTAGGATGTAAAACTGCAGCTTCTGTGATTGAGATTTAAAGACTCATCTGTTCACTTGTTGAAGATCCCATTTTAATGAGTGTAACTCAAATAAAACATAGCAAAGGTTTATTTAAATGTAATATGTTAATAGGTTACCTTTTGCTACAGGAACAGCAGGTTCTTCTGGTTGCAGGAGGTGGAGGTAAATTGATTTCTTGCCCATTTCTACCCAGTTACTATGGCTGTAGAAATCCTGGTATGACAAATGTTTTAAACAAAGTAAAGTACTCATGCAAAGCTGGTAACAGATGTTAAATTCTGACTCAGTAGGTACCTGAAGGGTATGTAAAAGCTGACCCAGGGTAAATCGAGCGCTCTCATACTCTTTGGCTCGTACCGAGAGCACAATCTGAGTCCAGAACCGCCGTAACATCAAAATGGAGTCGTCAATAGCCTCTGCGTCAAAGTGGTAGACTGGGTTGAACTTGGTGGACATCATGAAGTCCATGTTTGCGTTTGAGATCGACACCTCTTTCATGGCTCTCCAGAAGCTGCGGCCTAATCTGGCCTGTGAGGGAATAAAATCAGGTGGAGTGTGCTGAAATAATCTGCCACTTTTATAACATCTACATGATGATCTCACCTCCTCCTCTGCGTGGTCCTCCTTGTGTTTTGTGGTTCCTCTCAAAACCTCAGTGGTTATGTTGAGGATGGCCTGCTCTGTGATGTACTGGTGTGTGTGTGAGTCCAAAGACAGAGTTAACACTTTGGACCAGAAGTTGGGAAGGAACCCTTTGCTTGGTGAAGCCAAGAGAAGAAAGTATGCCATCATAAACCAACATGCTTGCCTTTGACATCTAGAGATGGCTCCTTGTTCTTGGAACATTTTGCACCAGAGGGACAGCAGATCAGAGACCAGGTGTTCACAAGACTAAAGAGGAAGTTAGATGCGAGGCACATGAGGATTCCAGTGAACAATTAGCCAATGACATTCATTTATTTGCTAACATACTGGACTTTTTCCTGACTTACTGAACATGAGGATTTCATATTCAGCTGATAGCATTAGTACTGTAAGGATCACATCGTGCTTTCTGTCCTCGCCCACTCCTCCTGCCACCTCCCCTTGATGCTTTCCCTCTGACTGTTCCCAGCATTGTCTGTATGGACTTTCTTATTGTTCATTGTCATCTTCACTCAAACACAATACGCTGGGTTAGTTCTCACAGTCTGCTTTAACAAGGGAGGCGCTGAAACAAAGCAAACAACCGCTTCTCTAACCGCCAGCATTCAACCCTACTAACAGAACAAGATAGAACATGAAAGGATGAGGTTGCTTCTTCTCCTCTCATTTTCTATTAATAACATAATCAATAATAGGTACTGGTTGTATTTTCTTTGTTACATTTTACTAACATAACTAATTAACTCACAATTAATTTCCCACCGAACCTTTTTTTCACCAACATGATCACAACTACCAAGGTTAATCCTCCACAGCAGACCAGCACTGTTTTAAATGTTGGTAGGATCATTCAGAAGCATCTGACTGAAACTGTAGTTGAAGTTAAAGAAAAGTTAAAGACTGTCTTACCTCAGTTCATGCTTCGGTGTTTCGTCTTCACGAAGACAGAAAATGCTTCAGCAGAGACATCAAAGTGCAGCAAAACCACAAATCTCAGCACACATGACAACAGAGACTTTCACCATAACCTGTCACAAGGGCTCTTGTTCCAGAGAGGTCACAGTGTTTCTATCTGAGGAGCAAAAATATAAAGATTTGTCCTTGGACTCTTGCCTCTGACTGGCGCCTCTGTAGTGGAAAACAATAACAATAAAATAAAAACCAAGATAGAAATGGTGAAGAAAGTTTGTTAAACTCAGATAAGAGTCTGACTGCGTGTTCTTGAGCATGTTTCATACCGTGAGGCAGAAGACCTCTAGTCTTGGCCCCCACTACTGCCCCCCCCCCCCACCCCATTAATCCATGGTGCATTGATTCACTACAATAGGGCTGCATATATTACCAGCCAGGGTGTTCAACTTCTGCCTACCCCAACCCCCTCCCATGTCCTCCATCCATCACTCTCACTTTTCCTCACAAAACCTAAAAGCCGTTGCTTTTCACAGCACCAAACATCATAAATCCAGACTTCTAGAGTCGTGCATAGCGAGGTGGCAGTTGCTAGCCAACACCAGACATATTGTTAAAAATCATTTCTTGAGTCGCTTTTAAGCAACAGCAATTTTAAGTTGTTTTGCATAAAATATCAGATGCATAAGTTGTCATGCAGCTGTCAATAATCAAAAAGACATGACAAATGTTTTGTTTATGTCTTAACAATCACCATCATACCATGTAAGAAAGACAACGAGACGTTTTCTACCTCATGTACACTGCCCATCTGGTGGAACTTCAGAAGCTGTGGTCTACACAAAGTTCAGGTAGCTACTGAAAGTATGAAACTGGTACCGTGCCAGTCAGCTGTTCATGCATACTGGTATTCCAACCTGTGCTGCTGTATTCCAGTCTCAATTACAGGTGAATGTGTTGTTGTTAATGATTGGACCATGGCTTGTAAACAATTACACATCTTTGTGTTAAATTGAAAATACATATACAGTCAGGTCCATAAATACTGAGACATCGACACAATGCTAACATTTTTGGCTCTATACACCACCACAATGGATATCAAATGAAACGAACAAGATGTGCTTTAACTGCAGACTGTCAGCTTTTATTTGAGGGTATTTACATCCAAATCAGGTGAACGGTGTAGGAATTACAACAGTTTGCATACGTGCCTCCCACTTGTTAAGGGACCAAAAGTAATGGGACAATTAGCTTCTCAGCTGTTCCAGCCAGGTGTGTGTTATTCCCTCATTATCCCAATTACAATGAGCAGATAAAAGGTCCAGAGTTCATTTCAGGTGTGCTATTTGTATTTGGAATCTGTTGCTGTCAACTATCAAGATGAGATCCAAAGAGCTGTCACTATCAGCAAAGTAAGCAGTCATTAGGCTGAAAAAACAAAAGAAACCTATCAGAGAGATAGCAGAAACATTAGGCGTGGCCAAAACAACAGTTTGGAACATTCTCAAAAAGAAGCATCGGTGAGCTCAGCAACACTAAAATACCCAGAAGACCACGGAAAACGACTGTGGTGGATGACCGAAGAATCCTTTCCCTGGTGAAGAAAACACCCTTCACAACAGTTGTCCAGATCAAGAACACTCTCCAGGAGGTAGGTGTATCTGTGTCAAAGTCAACAATCAACAGAAGACTCCACCAGTGTGAATACAGAGGGTTCACCACAAGATGTAAACCATTGGTGAGCCCCAAAAACAGGAAGGCCAGATTAGTTTGCCAAACAACATCTAAAAAAGCCTTCAAGTTCTGGAACAACATCCTATGGACAGATGAGACCAAGAACAACTTGTACCAGAGTGATGGGAAGAGAAGAGTATGGAGACAGAAAGGAACTGATCCTAAGCATACCACCTCATCAGTGAAGCATGGTGCTGGAAGTGTCATGGTGTGGGCATGCATGGCTGCCAGTGGAACTGGTTCTCTTGTATTTATTGATGATGCGACTGCTGACTAAAGCAGCACGATGAATTCTGAAGTGTTTCGGGCAATATTATCAGCTCATATTCAGCCAAATGCCTCAGAACTCATTGGACGGCGCTTCACAGTGCAGATGGACAATGACCCAAAGCATACTGCAAAAGCAACCAAAGAGTTTTTGAAGGGAAAGAAGTGGACTGTTTTGCAATGGCCAAGTCAATCACCTGACCTGAATCCGATTGAGCGTACATTTCACTTGCTGAAGACAAAACTGAAGGGAAAATGCCCCAGGAACAAGCAGGAACTGAAGACTGTTGCAGTAGAGGCCTGGCAGAGCATCACCAGGGATGAAACCCAACGTCTGGTGATGTCTATGTTCTAGACTTCAGGCTGTAATTGACTACAAAGGATTTGCAACCAAGTATTGAAATGTATGAGTTTGATTTATGGTTCTTATTCTGTCCCATTACTTTTGGTCTCTTAACAAGTGGGAGGCACTTATGCAAACTGTTGTAATTCCTACACCGTTCACCTGATTTGGATGTAAATACCCTCAAATAAAAGCTGACAGTCTGCAGTTAAAGCCCATCTTGTTCATTTCATTTGATATCCATTGTGGTGGTGTATAGAGCCAAAAATGTTAGCATTGTGTCAATGTCCCAATATTTATGGACCTGACTGTATGTGTGTGTGTGTGTGTGTGTTAAATATTTAATATTTCAAATGTACAAGTGCTGTTATTTTGGGAATGGCTTCTTTCATTTATAATAGGTTGTTTCTCAAAATAAGTGACTGAAGCACAGTTTATTTCTTAGGGTTCCAAGCTCATTGAAGCAAATGTAGTTGCAAAGACGTTATGATCATGAGAATTTTACTTGTTGGAAAATTGATCGTATATCTGAGCAGTAAATTTCAAATTTCAGTTTGCAGATGTAGACAATAGTTTAAATCCAGGGGGTGCTACAGTATTGAATACTTTGTCTAATTGCTTTGGCTTGTAGTTAGCTATGTGCACCAAATCTTTGATATGTTAATGGTTGGACAAAGTGAGCATGGCTCAAAATCAATTAAACATTTTTGTGTTAAATTGCATTTTTGTAAGATTTTAAAATATTAAGTCCTTTGTTCAGTTCCATTTGTAAAATGTTTATCGGATTTGACCTTTAAATACTCTTTAATACATTTTAAAACGTGTTAAACATCCATTGACCTAAGGGGACGACACCAGCTCCAGAACACATCGGCTGATGGGATTCACTCAAATAGTCAGTCGGCCACTGGTGCAGACTGTCCTCTGCCACCAGCAGAACAGCTGTTTTGGGGAGCTTTGTAAAGAAAATTTGAACTTGGCATTAACCGTTCTGTCCTGTTTTGCAAAATAGTTTTTTTTTCAGTTTTTTTAATTAAAAACCCTGAAACATAAAATGATAACTTATAATAAATTTTGTTGCATTTATCACACTGTTGGACTGAGTTGGCTATCAAGCATTGAGGTAATCTTGTCAAAGCAGAGTACATAGGATAAACATGTCAAGGCAAGGCAGCTTTATTTATATGCACAGTTCATACACAGACACAATTCAGTGTGCTTTCCATTAGTAAGAACAGCAAGAATATTAAAATCAACATCACAGAAAATGCAATTTAAAAATTCAAAAGAAACAAAGAGTTTACCGTATTTTATTGTGTTTTATCTTGTAACGTGACCTTGGGTGTTTTGAAAGGTGCTTTTAAATAAAATGGATAATAATCATTATTATTATTCCATCCATCCATCCATTGTCTGAACCTGCTTTGTCCATGTAGGGTCACGAGGGGGCTGGTGCCTATCTCCAGCGGTCAATGGGCAATCAGGCGGGGTACACCCTGGACAGAGAGCCAGTCCATCGCAGGGCAACACTGAGACACACAGGACTAAAACCATGCGCACACACACTCACTCCTAAGGACAATTGTTATTAACTTTTATGTACCTGCGTATGAAATATAATAAAACTGCCTTTTTTTGCCAGACTATGTGCAGCAGTTCTGTTTATTTTCTAAAATAATGAAAAATAGGACTAAATCACACTCAGCCTTAAATTAAATTAAATGATACAGATGGTGAGCAGTGTGTCCTAACTTGTTGCTATCAGCTTTTAAAGTGAAGACATAAGATAGCCAATAATAATAAGATAACCCCCCAAATGATAGCCTATAATAACAAGATAACCCCAATGCTGCCAACAGATATAAAGTCAGTCTAACAGAGTGGTAAATGCAACATTTATTAAGTTCGTTTTCAGATGAAACTGAAAACAGGACTGAATGGTTATTATAGCGTTTATTTTCTTCTGCTTGCAGACAAAAAAACCTCCACTTAGAAGGACGTTGGTCTACCGGTACATGAAAAAGCCAATCGTTGCAGAGCACTTCCAGCCAATCAGAGACAACAAAGGCGGGACAATCCTTGGACATCCTACAATTCCAAATGACAAGAGTGGAGGACTGCAGCTTTATCCTGTAAGGGAAGATGGTTTATTGCTAAATGAAATAGTCAATAGCAGCAGAACTCATCTAGCCAGTCAAGGGCGAGAAAGGCAGGACCTTCCTAGAACTACTTACATGGTCCTCTTGCTACGAGCTGCAGGACAGCTACAGGGCTTCTGTTCCCATCCTGGAAAAGGTAGGATTTCATCTTTTGCATTTATTAGAAGAATTTCAACTGACGCTTGATTATAAAACTTGTAATGGATGTTGACATGGTTGTTTTGGTGTTGCGAACAGAGCCCACCTTCCTTATGGAGTTTCTCAGATCCATAACAACAACAGACATAACAATGAATGTTCACTCAGACCATAAATTGATCTTATTTATTCAAGACATAAATGAAAAAACCCAATTAAAAATATAGAATTGATGAGGAGGGATGTAATCAGAATTTTTTTTAATTATATGTTTCTGCTGCTCACCATTAAAACAATGAATCACTATAGTTTTTTGTGAGCAGCAGCAGGTGAAATAAACTTAAAAAATAAAGAAAAATTAATCAACCGAAATGTATTAATCTGAATTGTTTTTGTTTTTCAAGTTCGAGTTAAAAAACAATTTAAAGTTAAAGGGAAAAATTTTCATATTTTAAAACATTTTCTTGAGCCAGTATGTCTTAAAATGACCCTTTACAGAGTTAGGCCTAGTCCACACGTAGCCGGGTTTTTTAAAAATGAATATCCGCCCCTCCAAAAACTTGCATCCACACCACCTCGTTTAAAAAAAAAACTCTGTCCACACGTACCCGGATAAATACGTTGTTAAGGACATGCCAGACCTGTAGACGGCAGTACTTCCCCCGTTCTTAACCTTGTCCTTCGTCTGTGGTCTTCCGCAAGGAGCAGTA